GTGGTCCACGGCTTCGACGACCTGAACCACAACGCGGGCATGAATAGGACCTATGAAATTCGAAACCATCTTTGATCACTGTCGTTCACCGTCGCCCACCACCCCTTGGTCACGTTTTTGGCCGGCGACCTGAATCGTGGTGGTCTTGCACTCCGGTGAACAACTCCGGCGAGTTAAAACCTAACAGTTTTTTTTTTCTCCAGTTTTAATCCTCCTTTTTCCTTTATTTTTTTCCTACTCCTTTGAATCCTTTCTTCATTTTTAATGAGTTGGTTGCTGCATCTGCAACAAGAATTTTTTTAATCTTAATTCTTCTACTAATTGGGTCAATTTAAATTTCTATTTTTTTTATAAATTCTAAAATAATATTGAGTTCCTATTTTATTATTGTTCCTATTTTATGAAGAGAATGATTATATTGAGGAAGAGGAGGAGAATGATGATGATGAGAAGGATGATTAGATTAGCAAAATGCTTCTTGTACTCTTGTTTTTCTATGTTTTTTGTTGTGTTTTAATCAATTATGTTATGAGACTTAATGAATTATGGTATTGTTGTTATGATATTTAAGTATTTAAGTTGATATTATGTTGCTTTTAATTTAGTTTTGTTACTTGTTATTTATTGTTTTGCTATTTTCTTTGTATATAATATATATAAATATTTTTATTATTAATTTTTTTTTGTCCGCCATGACGTCCGCCATAGGCCGCCATGGCATCCGCCATAGAGTTATAAAGGATTTTTGGCCTCACCGCCATAGACCGTTATCCGCCATCGATAACCTTGGTTCAGAGCCACAATGCTTTGCAGTGTCATAATGACATGCTTTGAACTTCACATATGACCTTTGAAGAACTATGGAGCATAATATGTTATACAATTTTCTTTTAAGAACTATGAAACACAGGAGATCATTTGGGGGTGAGGGGGGGGGGGGGTATGACAGTACACTTTCATATAGTTTATTGTATATTTCATTATGTAGTTTGTTTTTAGAAGGGGTTAAAGATCTCTGAGCTGGACAACTCCTTGGTTGTTTGCTAGCATATCTTTGAACAGATCTGGTGTTATTTGCTTACAGTATTGTTTTATTCAATCTGTATGCAAGAAACAAAGGAATTCTTTACAAACATTTTATCCTTTGATTTATAAACAAATTTTACTATGTATTTCAGGCTGCATCTCAAGTTCATGGTGGACATTTTGCAGCTGGTTTCGTTGACGGTTCTGTTAGACTTTATGATGTCAGAACACCTGAAATGTAAGCACGGCAGATGAATTTCTACCATCATGATGCAAATAAGGACATGCTTATTGGTTCTCTTTATTGATGTGATTGAATTGAGCAACGTTATTTGTCAGCTTCTATGTTTCGACATGGTTACCTTCATGCATATGAATATTTAGACTTTTCCTTGATGAATACTATATTAAGTTTTATCGTAAAAGTATACACCTTAGGTAGATTTAGATGCCTCTGACTCTGTAATCACTAATGACAATGCTGCTTCTTAGGCTCGTCTGTGGATTAAGGCCTCATACACAGAGTAGAAAAAGTTGTAGGGATTGGCTTTCAACCTGGATTAGACCAAGGAAAGGTAAAAGAACATGTTGCTAGTTTCATGTTTTTTTTCTTCAATGACTTATAATTCTTAGATCTTGGTAGACATTCAGTGATTATGATCTATGAATTTGATAAGTGGATGATGCAATTATGTTACATTCTTGGTTTCCTACAGTATTTAGCCTGGAGGGCGATCAATTTGGCACCATTCGATACTACCCTACCCTAATGGCCCAGAAAATTGGTTCTGTAAAATGCCTCAATTTCCATCCATACCAAGTATTACTTGCTGCTGGTGCTGCAGATGCCTGCGTTAGTATCTATGCTGATGACAACACAGCTTTTTTTCATACTGAAAATACTGAATAAAAAATTACTGACATAATAGAACAATACATGTAGATATACAAACTTACAGGGAATTCTATGATAAAAGAAATAAAGGGCTTATAATAAAGAATGGTGCTTGAAAATATAGGATAGGATAGAATGAAATAACATACAAGTGTTAAGTATAAAAATGCAAATAAATGCTTTATGAAATGAACAGATCTTAATGTATGCAACAGACATTCTTCTAAACTAGCATTTTTTAGGTAAGTTATGCTTCCTAATGTCATATGCAAGTATGATTGAAAAGAAAAAACGTGTTTCCATAACCATGAGCGCTGAAATGCCTCTTGAATTGGAAATGGAGTACCAGAAGCAATTGCATCATGTCTTGCAAGCAAACTTTGAACACTAACATTTAATTTGAGGCCTTATCCAAGAAGCTCCTCATCCCTATGTCAAAACCACGATGATATCAAAGATTATTCAACATAGCTATGGACAGAGTTTGGGTATATGCCACATGGAATAGCTGAGTGGAGCTAACCCAGTGGTTAGCATCTGCATCAATTTTTTCTGGTTTGTCCTACTGCGATCAACAAGATCAATGTTGACTTCATCTTTTACGGCCTACAAAGCATAATAACCAAGCATTTAATCATTTTACTTTGTGGCAAGGATGATTCAAGAAGGCCAAGCGATACAGTTTAACTTACCGCACGATCACTAGGACTCAGCCTGTAACAATTCACTTAGAAGGTCCAAAGCTTGTTGCAAGGACTCCAAACATGACAAACTAAGTATTTCAATGAATGTTAGCTAAAATGCAAATTTGGTAGCAATTGAAGCTCTGTGACACAAAGGGCAAGAGGAAGCTAAAGTGAGCAGGAAAACAAAGGTTGAGTTTACCTTGAGCTTTCTATCTCTGTTGTGCTTGGCATCCCCATATCCAGCTTGGATATTTATTAAATTTGGATGGCTAGGAGGTGTAAATATTGAAGCTGCATCTGGTGAACGCTGTTGGCTGCAATTATATGACCCAATACAGTATTATGATGATATGATCTACTGGACATTGAATTAATACTCAGATGTGACTACAGCGTACATATATCATTGCAATTTTCTATCCTGTAGCTAAAATGTAAATTTAAAACAAACTGGATGACGATGATTGACTTTTGCAAGGGGACAATTCTCACACCCAGGTTTTGATGGAAAAAAGTATGCGAACCCTTAAAATTCACCGATTTGTCGCAAAAGATTTTCAAGATCAAATTAGACTTATGCAAATAATTTTCAGGTGCTAAATTTAGTTACAAAATACAAATTTGTATAGATGTTAAAAAAAGAGTAAAAAGTGTCTTCTTAAAATTTGTAAAAGCCAAATCTCATCCTTAAAAATAAAATGGACCAAATGGATCATCAATTACATAATATCCACAAATGTCACGTGAATATAATTTGAAAATCTAGCATCCCACTAAATCCTAAATTCTAAACCCTAAAACCCTAAACCCTAAACCCTAAACGTGCAACTGTCAATATAGAGATGGATAAAAACCATTCAAGAAATCTTATTGAGTAGACAACTGCATACTTGCCTTTAATTCCTCATATGCCCAAAAGTACTGTGGATATTTACCACCTGGTCCCCCGAGTCGCTCTTGCCACGAGTCTAGCAATACTAAATTTTTATCCCTCACTTACATATCTGCCTAAATCATCATCACATGTATTTCATGTTAGAAGAGACTGATAGAACCAAAAAAATTGTCGAAGAGAAACTAGGAATTCTTTATTGAATTGGAAAAACAAAACTGGAACAAGAAAATAATCTCAAGTACTTCAAAGACCTCTTTTTATTTATTTATTTATTTGAAGGAGGTAGTACATTTATGAAAGACAAATTACATATATAATAGAAATGACTTTTACCTATCAAAACAATCTTAACATTTGCCTTGATATGGATGGGTTCATCAGTTCAACTCAACATTATAACATTTAGGGTTAACTAATAAATCCTAAGGGCATCATCAACTCAACATTATATCATTTTATCAAGAGAGAAATACAACCAAGAGACATTTAACATACAGGTAGTTTTGTTCCCATGATATTGTGGCCAATCTAATCTAGGATCATAGCCTAAGTGAAATCTCTAGTGAACAGTAGAACATACTGGTCATTAATGATGTACAGAAGTAGCCACTGGACTTGGTTTGGATATAAATTTAATCAGGAAAAGTGCAGTTAAAACAATTACACCATCAGATTCAATAATATTATAGTAAACATTGTGCACCAAAAAGGTAGAACGATGAACGAGCAGAGTTGACAGCTGAATGGGTTACTTATTTCAGAAGATGTACTAGCTAATCAATTTTTCTAATAGTAAAACTGCAACAAATATAAAATTTGTTCAGATTCTACATGAATTCTCCCTCCAACATGACAGATGTATAGTAATAATGATCTGAGCTTGTTTATAATAACAAATATCCACAAAGAATGCAATAACTTCTTTCAAGCACCAAATACACAAATTAAATCAGAAACATATCTTACGCTTCCAACTAACAACAACTTACCTTCTTCCTTACGATTTTGATCATCTCCTCCAATAAGTTCCTCTCAGCAATCTGAATGTTCACATAATCACCACAGTTCCTCACCATGGTCTCCAGAAGCTGGGGAGTAGACAACTAGAAACCATAAATGAAGTTCCAACCAAACAAATGAATTCAAAAATTAAGCAATCCAAGGAGGACAAAACCACAAAGTACAAAGTACTTGAGGCGAATATTAAAAGGTTAGACCAAAGACTGAGAGGTTCAAGTTTTTTTAAAGAGAATTCTAGAGAGAAAGATTCTGATCGGTGAGCTGTGAGCTCTCTTCTCTATTCTCCTTCTACCCCATTTCTTCTCTAAGTAGTGTTATTTTGTGATTCAGATGGAAGAGAACCTTGAATCAAAATGTGAAGTCATACGAAGTCGATTGTCCTTTCCTTCTTCCTTGGATTAGCTCAGAGATTCAATTTCACTTTGTCTCGAGGTAAGGAAAGCTAGAATTGTTGAATTTTAATTGACGTGTTGGGTTGTTGAATTAATCTCAAGGATTAATGTGGGTGGAATCATGAAACCATTTGGGGGTTTTGAGGGAAAGTTGGAAATGTGATGATTTCTTGAGTTGTTGTAGTTGCATATTGTTCTTCTTGGAGTTTTTGTGTTGTATGTGGCTAGTGTTTGTATGGTTGTGGATTGCATGTGCTGGATTTTCTTTAAGTTGTAGGTTGGGTTCGAATTTTCAAACTTGAAGTGCTCAATTTTGAATTCACGCCGAGCATGTCTTCATGGCGACAGGCGGACATTCATCAGATGCTCAAGTCTCACATTCACGATGGGCACGAGGTTGGTTGCACCGGACGTGAAGTGAAATTGGGGGTCCCTGGATGAATGGCATCAGACGTGCAAGATGTGGTGCCAGGTGTGATATCAGAATTAAGGATGATTGGGCCTATGCTAATATGAGGTCAAGTGCCAGGAAATCACGCCGGGCGTGATTTACCTTGGGTAGTCTTTGCTAGGCCTTAACGTTGAGCATGAAACCATGACATTAGGCGCCAGACTTGTACCAAGAGTGATTTTCCCATGACAGGCATGAGAGAGTCCTGATACTCTCTGTTTGGGCTTAATGCCGGGTGAAATAACAATTTCGTCGGGCATGGTTCTGTTATGCGTAGTAGAAATGTATGTTTGGTTTAGTGTTGTATATGAGTTGCTAATATGATGTTTGAGTTGTTGTGTGATTGAATGTGTAGTTAAGTGCATGTTGAAAGGTTGTAGTTGGAGTTATTCCATATGTTGGATATTGATGTGTTGTGGGTGTGAGTTGTTTTATGTGTTGAATGTTGAGGTGTTGTTGAAGTGTGTTGTTATAATTGAGTTGTGAGACGTGTGATACATGTTGTAACTAAGTCGTGAAGTTGAGTAGTCGTGTAGAGATGTTATATGAGTTGAAAGTTGTGTGTTGACTAAGTTGTTATGCTAAAAATATAGTGAGCTGTTATGTTGATTAATCTGAGTTTTTGAGTTGAACTGTGTTGTTGAGTTGTGTGTTGATTAAACTGAGATGTGTTGACCACTTAGGACTAGAGGAGATGTTTTTGAAAGTTGCTCATCTCATTGTGTGGGTTGAGTGTGTTGTGGTGCTTTGAGAGTCCAATTTGTTAAAAAAATCCTTCTTGGAAAGTTGACCCTTGAAGGGGATGTTGTGTTGTTCTCCTCTAGGACTTAGTTGGTATCGTATGTGGGCAAGGTCGAGGCACACATGTATGAAGCGACCATGGTTTAGGGGCTAGGTTGAGCTATACTGATTACAAGCAACCAAAAATCGAGTAAAGTATGAAGTCGGAAACTTAGTTCATAATTGAGTATTGGAAGGTTGTAGTATTTAGAAGATAGTTGGTAGGCTAATCTGATAGATGACTTAGTTAAGCTAGCTAATTCCGTGGTAAGCCTATACTCAACTGTTTTATCTTGACATTAATACTATACTTCCTTGTTTAAGTGGCAAAATATGAGAAATTGAGTTGTTGTATTGTGGATTGATATCCAATTTGCTGTTGATCTAGCAAGCCTAAAAGGATCACCTATGTTGTTGGTTCAGTAGGATCTAGCCACTTAAGCTACTCACCCTACCTTGTAGGAGATCTTCGAGTTGAAATGCGTGACGATGCATATAGATGATGTGTTGAATTGTGATGATATGTGTTGTTGTGTTGAATCAGTGTTGAAATGTGTTGAGATGTTGTCTGTTGTTCATGGGTTGCTTGAAATGTGAAGAAATGTGTCGTTGTGTTGATTAAAAGTTGCATTGTACTGTTTGTTGTATGTTATGATGCAAAGTTGTAGAGTTGTTGAAGATGTGATGATATTGTGATGGTAGTAGAATGTTTCTATATATATGTGTTGTTTTTCTTTATCTAGCTTACCCTTGCATGTTTCCATGTGATTTGGACTGTGATGATCATACTATATATGGGAGTAGTGCAGGGATAGGTTGGAGCGCAAAAGTGGAGGTCACTAGTGGCGGAGGAGTTGGTTTTATTTTGTTGACTACCAGATGTGGTAGATTTTTGTATAGTTGTTTATAGTTGCTCGACAAACAACTCAATTATATGTATGTATATATGTATATATATATATATATATATATATATATATATTTATAGTATACTTATTGTAGTATATGTATTTTAGATGTTTAAGTAGTGTTGTGGTGTAATATAGAGGTCATGGCGAGTCGTTACACTTTTAAGGTTCAATAATATAACACATGAATTCAATCACATAACAAGTCAATTATTTTAATCAATTCAATCATGAATAATATCAAATTATAAGCGTAGGATTACCTATAACCCTTCAAGATATCAAATAAAAACTTAAAAAGACTTAAGGATAATTTCATTATCCACAATTCTTATAAAATTAGTCCCAAAAATCATTTAACGTTATAACTACGACCTTGACAAAATTATTCCACCTCTGGTAGCACTTTTATTTATATTGAAGGATCAAATATAATATAGTATATTTCTACCATTACATTATTTATCCTTTTCTTTTTCACTTTTTGGATATTTTTTTCACTTCTAGTGAAAATTATTTTCTTTCTCATTTTTTGTCACATATATAATAAAACATTATATGAAGCAAATGCATAAATGAATATGACTTATGAGATATACTATTTTTGAAATATGAATCAAAAAATATGACTTTACTTGAACATGATTTGTTGTGTAAGCTTATTCCTTTGTGTCTTTGAGTTCTATGGAGTCAAGAACCTTTGTTTAGTGGATGAACCACGACCTTATGATCATAGTGTGATTAACGACCTAACGACCTTTTCTCTATAGAGATGTCATCTAGAGTTGTATTATTTTCAACAATGAGATAGTCTATTTATAAACA